CTTTTACTTTGGAATATTCCTATTGTATACTGAAACCTACAAAATAAAAATAAAAGTTTTACTATTAGAAATTCACTGCTAGTAAATCCTAGATATTACGTAAAAAAATTAAAAGGGACAAAGTAACTAATCATGATACAAAGAATTGTATCATGGTAACTAATATAATAATATTAAAAAGTAAAAAGTAAAGTAAAAAATAATTCCAAACACTAGATTTTTTTCTTGGCATTGTGCTATGCCTATAATTAAACAACAAAAATGTAAGAATGATTTTAACTTTGTTTATTGTTTTTATTTTGTTTACCTTTTTTTAAAAAAGTTTTTTGTGATGATGCTGAATAATCCGGCTTCATTGAGGTTATGTAACATAACTTACATTATTTATATTTCTTCTTCTGCTTTAAATTAGCACACATTAAATTCTTATTCAAAGCCTTGTATCATGGCCTTAACGAAAATCAGCGGTTAAACAATTGACATTTAAATGAAAAAAACAAGGAAAGTTTCCAAGGAATGTTTCCAAGGAATGTTTCCGGTAGCTTAAAAGAAACTTTCAAAATGAAAATAAATTCCCAATTGGAAACTTTCCAAAACGGAAAGTTTCCTTAAAATGGAAACTTTCCGATTCCCATCTCTAATATTATATCATGTATCAAGTTTGATAAACTCCATTTAAGTTACGAATTTAATGTATGCACGAGCAAGCTTGTAAGCGTGTGCTTAATTAAATGAACTGAGAAAATTTTATAAACGAGTTGCATTCTATACTTTTTCTACGACAAATACTTAATATTATCTAAAAATAATTTAAATTAAATAGGTATTTGTATAAAGCAACATATATACGAAAATAAATTAACCATCCCAATCAACATTGCCCGTTATTATTTTAATTAAACTTAACAATTATTAATACTTTAAAGCAGAGCTGTCACAAGTCACTTCTAAAAAGACTTAAGTCATAAGTCGTAAGTCTTTTTTGAAATAAAAATGACTTAAGTCTTAAGTCATTTTTTCTATAAAACAGAAAAGATTTAAGTCTTAAGCCTTTCAAAAAGACTTAAGTCTTTTTTTTTAAGCCTTAAGTCTTATTAAAAATGACTTAAATCAAATATATAAAGACTTAAATCTAGAAAAAGACTTAAGTCATTTTTAGGGACTTAAGTCCCTAAAAATACTTAAGTCGTTTTTAGATTTAAGTCGTTTTATAGGTTTAAGTCGAAAAAAAAAAGATTTAAGTAAAAAAAAAAACAAATACCTTACTCATTTTGAGAGATTCAAAACAAGATCAAAGAGTATATATTTAATAGATACTCTTTGACAAGACTTTTAATGAAATTTATTTTTAAAATAGGTGCATAACATAAAGTTGATCACTTAATTAGTCAATTACTGTATTGTATATAATAATGTACTGGCACACAGTGTTGGAAATGCCCAAAAAGCTGGCCAAAACATATAAAATCTACATTAATATATTTGAGTAAATTTAAATTTTTTATATGTTAAAAACATATAACAAATTTCTTAAGTTTCATAACTGATTTAGTAGAGAAGGTCAAATTTGAACTTTCTTGAAGTGATTTTTTCCATTTCAAGTAACCAGTAAAAAAGGTACTTTTAATATTATTTTTTTAATTATCATTAAAGTATATGCTATTTTTAAATGAATTACTAATTTTAGGTGGATAAAACGATTTTTTAGTGAAAACATATTTAAAAAATGATTTTTTAAAAAATGATTTTGTTTAGGACCTCCACGAGCCGAAGCTCAAATTTTGTCATGATCAGAAAGTTAGTACCTTGGTGTGTTAGTACCATGAAAAATTGGATCCGGTTTGATCCGGTCCTGGGTGCTATCCATAAATTACAGTTTGCTTATTTTAAAACTTATGTGAAAATTGTTTAATAACTTTTAAAGTAACTTAATAATTTTTTAATATAAAAAATACTAGTTATAACTATAGTTAACATTTAAACACCTTTGGCGTATTTAGTTCGCCAGGGACGGACTAGCTTTAATTTGATTATGTCAATTTTTTCAAGCGTGTAACAATTTAAGCCTCTATACATGGTGTTGCATGAGAAAACCGACATAGCTTAAGGGTAGGTGTAGTATTCAGAGGTGAATCCAAATCTGGCTTTGAAAAAATTCGTTTAAGAGTTACAGGGTGATTTATGTATTTTGTCGAAAATTTTGAAAAATCATATCTTGGGAATGGATCAATAGAATCGCATAAAATTTTATATACATACTTAAGTATAAAGTACCTGCACAGCGCTGTATCGGACATTCAAAAAAAAATCAGGACCGGACCTAACATTTTTTTTTATTTTTTTCCCACTAAAAACACCGCAATATTAAAACTTATATAAAGAAACGACACACATTTATTAAACGTGCAGAGACAATTTTTTAACATGCAATTTTACCTCGACGCAACGTCCAAACCATCAAAATAGTAATTTTAAAAATTATTAAATCATTATTTATTTATTTTTTTAAGAATTTAATTCTTACCTATTTTGTCATTTTAAAAAGAATTAAATCATTATTTTGACTTAAGTCATTTTAAAAAGATTTAAATCATTTTTAGACTTAAGTCATTTTAAAAAGATTTAAATCATTTTTAGACTTAAGTCATTTTAAAAAGACTTAAGTCATTTTTTTGTTTTAAGTCATTTTAAAAAGACTTAAGTCCTTACGCAAATGTAGAAAAAGCTTAATAATACAAATCATTTTGAAAATGACTTAAGTCTTAAGTCTCAAGTCGTCCAAAAAAAAAGAGACTTAAATCAAATGACTTAAGTCACAAAAATGACTTAAGTTAAAAAAAAGACTTAAGCTTTCTGCTGTCTGACAGCTCTGCTTTAAAGTAATAAAATAACTTCAAAATATGATTATGTTGGGAAAATATTTTATCCTTTAAATTTTTTTAATACAATAATTGCAAAAATTATCACAAAGTATTAAAAATTCTTACATGGAAAATGTTAAAGGTACAAAAAGTCGCCCTTAGAATTTCTAACTTGGGAATCTACCGGCGTTAAAATTTTTAATTTATCTGTGTTAATCAAAATTTATCCCTTGAAAATAGACTAACAATCGATATAGAAGCAGTTTTTCATAGTAAAAGAAAAGATAATGTTTTATGGGCACTGTACGCAAACTTTTTAACGCTTTATCAGTTAAATCTAGTTAACTGCACTACTACGGCGATATCAAAAGGTCAGTACAAAAGTTCATATAATCTTTTCAAATATTGGCGTCCAGAAACTATTTATTACTTTTGTATTTTTGTATGGAGATAATAAAATAATGTTCACATTTATTAATATTTTACAAAAAAGGCACTTCAGCCCATTACTAAAAACCTGTTGCTAACTTCAGTCCGTGTCTAAAGCGCAATAAAGCTACAACTTGTCAATGTGTACCTATTTAAAAGGTCACTTATAAGTGACACTATAGTTTCATAGAAACATGTAGATAATGGGCCTTTTAAAGTTGGGAGAAGAAAAATACATATGGGCGATTCCATGATTACTAACGGGACAAAAACAAGACAAAATGTTTTATGAAAATTTTAAAGATGTGTTGTTCATATAATAATAATTTTATAATAGTTATTATTACCTACTTAATACTGAGGACTGGCATCAAATTATTATTATAGGAACAACACATCTTTTCATAAAACATGTTGGTTCTTTTTGCTTGTCCCGTTAGTAATCATGGAATCGCCCATATGTAGACATATAGAACAAGATCTAATATGGAACTTTTGCCAACAAACATTAGGAGTCTGTTGAATCTTATTTCATTTACAAACGGCTGTATAAATATCCATTTTTCTTGTTCCAAAATTTCAAAGGATCATAACTCCAAAGTTATATAATTTTGAAATAAAATAATACCTACGTGCAATTTAGAGTGAAATATTCATTTGTTTTTTATAATCATACATTTTCCACTTTTAAACCTACACTGAAAAAAATAAGCTGTTGAAACAACAACAAAAATATTAATTCAACTCTTTATGCACTTTAAATACAAGCAATGGTTTTTGCACGTTTACTTAACCATCTAAAAATGTCAAATTGTATTGTTTAATTGAACAACAAATAACAGTCAAATGAACAAAATGAGAATATTTGTTCTAATCTGCTAATTTGGTTAATTTAACATTCTTAGGGTGTTAAGGTGAATTTCTTGAAATGTCCAGGTAACCTTTTTAGCATATTCACTTAACACCAATAAAATGTTAAATTAACATTCTGAAAATTTAAAATTCTTTAAAGGTTGGTATCCAAAACAAAATTATGGAAATAATATATTATTATATATAAAGAGAAAGAATTGAACCTTCACCTCGCCCAGAGTTTTTGTTTTGAGCGTGTTCCACCTACTTTAAATACCGACAGACAGCTGTTTCGCCCTGTATTGAGGGTCTTATCAGTGTCGGGCAATATGGTGTAGTGAAAGTTCCACTGTGGAACACACCTAAAACAAACAGCTACCTGATCTTATATACCCCTAATCGTAAGCCAACTAAGGCGAGATGTAAGAACACGTCATCGTCTGACGTGGCGCGGGTGTTCGAAGCGCCATTCTCGGCAATTTTATGAATGCAAATTTTACATTTTAAATTTTAAAGTAACATTTACAATTTGTTAAATGAACAAATTTAATGTTTTGGATTAAAGAGCAACTAAACGTTAATTTAATAGTTTTTTTAGGTAATCCTAAACATTTCAGTGGTCGATTCAACCTATTCCAGCTATTAAATCAAAATAGGATAAACATTTTAATTCAAAAAATTAGTTTATGTTAAATCAAAATTTTAACTGTCAAATGAACAAATAAACTTTGACAAACTCTGACTATTGCTTTAACACCAAAATATAGATTAATCCAATAGGTTTTTTGTTGAAACAACATTTTCAAAAATGACATTTAGGCAAATGTTAACTCAACTACATTATTTTTTTCGGTGTAGGTAACAGGATTTGACGACACCTTCATCCTGAAACCCATCCCAAATGCCTACCCAACATACAATAAACGAGGAAAAACCATAGAAAAACGTCTATCCGACGACCAAAGGGTAATCTTACACCAAATTAAACAAAATAAACAAAATTAAATACAATAAAAACCTTTAGGTCGAATGGGCAGAAGAACAGACTTCGAAGGAAAGACACAAAAGGGACTTCATAGAGCCTGAAGATGTGCCCCATGAAAGGACGAAACGTATTAGCAACAATAAAAGAAAAATATACAAAAGACCTCCGCCACCTTTAGGTAAAAATGAAAGGATTTTTAACGATGAATTATGGACACAAGAATGGTATCTAGTAAGTATTTATGCAAAGATTTAAGTTTTACAATAAGGTAATTTTAATTCTTTAATTAATTTTAAAAAGCTATTAAGCTGTTCTACGTCACCAGATATATTTTTATACCGTTGAGTGGAGATACCTATATCTTCAACCAATGATTATCATACGAGGTGTGTTCAGAAAATAACGGGAATTGTTCAATTACATTACATGCCCCCGAAGTATGATAAAAACTTTAGCTGTTTTCATTGTTTACTTTGTCTGTGGCAGCCGCTAAGGTTAGACGTGTTTTATGAGCTCGGCGATTTTTCGTTCGTTAAAAGAAATGGATCAAAGAATTTGTATCCAATTTTGCTTAAAAAAATGGAATAAATTCTGAAAAATGTTAACAAAGGCCTCTAGTGAGTCTGCTATAAGTAAAACAAGAGTTTACAAGTGGTATAAGAGTTTCCAAGATGGCCGTGAAGACGTTGAAGATGACGAACGCCCCGAACGCACAAGCACATTAACAACCGATAAAAACATGGAAAAAGTTTAATAAATGGTTATAAACCATCAGAGAAGTCGCTGATAATGTTGGTATATCGATTGGATCTTCCCATGAAATTTTTTCGAATGTTTTGGGTATGAAACGCGTGGCAGAAAAATTTGTTCTAAAATTGTTAAATTTTGAACAAAATTTTTGGCCAAAAACAATACTGTAATTATGCCCCAGCCTCCATATTTGCCAGACATGCCTCTGTCTGACTTTTTTCTATTCCAAAAAATAAAGAGAACCTTAAAGGGCCGTCGTTTTGCAAGCATATATGACATTAAAAGCGCATCGCTGAAAGAACTAAAGGCTATCCCAAAGATCGAGTTTTAGAAGTGTTTCGAGTATTGGAAGAAGAGCTGGCACATGTGCATAATATCCAATGGGGACATTTTGAAGGCGACAACATTAATGTAGACGAATAAATAAACATTTGTTTCAAAAAACGAAAATTCACGAATTTTCTGAACATATATGTTATATAACAAATATACGATATAATTTACTATATCACTTTTAGGCAACCAAGTAAATAGAACTGGTACATTTGATTGCCTATAGACCGAACCTACTAGTAAAAAAGCTAATAATTTGTATTCTTTTCAATAATGCATAATAAAAAATAATACACGTATGTCAAAGTCTTAATGTGGAGTACTACTATATTTCATATTTTTTTAAAAGGGGTTTTACAGAATAATTGCTAGTCTTTAATGATCAATTAATAAGCAGAAACTAAAAACTCACAGGTATATTCTTAGAACCTATCTATTAAAATAAAAAAACTGCAAATAAACGTTTAAGAACCAGTTCATTGTGCTTCAGGCTATGATAAAACAAAAAAATTAAATTTTGCATAATTAGTATAGCATGAATCACAATAAACTTTGTTTTATTTATAAATGTCCTTATCTATAGATAAGCGGTATTTTACATCCCAACTTGTAGCTTTCTAAATTTAACGTTATTTTCTTTTTCAAAAGGGGGATTCACAGTTTATCGCAACAAGTTTGGTAATTAATCATTATTTGTATTATATTGGTCGTGAATAATTTTATGATTGTTTTAGTTTCTATTTATTTATTTATATTCTTTGAAATCGCAATAATATCCACAATAGATAGGTATACCAGGAAAATTGCTTTATTCTTTATCATTATTAAGTAGGTATAATAATATTTACCTATATACAGGGTGATTAATTGATTTATTTGAGGTTTATAGAGAACTAAAAAAGCATTAATATGGAATATTGGTTGCAGCTTTACCGGACAAAAAACATTTTAATTGTTAAAAACAATAAAAATAATATTTTGATCTTTATTTATTTATTTATACAAGGTGTCCCTAAACTTAGTGACATAAATTTAGGAGCAGATTAAGCAAGTCAAAATAAGACGAAAATCTAAATAAATATTTTTTCTTATTACGTATGTTTAAAAGATACAGGGTGATAAAGTGTTACTTATCATATCAGTTTTTTTAATATAACTTATACTGTGGTAGACACAGTGTCGTAGAAACAGGGGTTGCTTAAGCTTATTGTCAGGGCAAAAAGTCCCGAGGCTCATGGAATGTTTTTTTTAGTTTTTTCAATTAAAAAATAAAATTTGTTATCATATACCTACCTTTTCATCCTTTTAAATAATGCGATATAACTAACAATTATTGTAATCTCGAATATATCGGTAACGGTTTATTTTATCGAAGTTTGAGAGGTACACCTTTTTAATGGTAGCCGAACTGTGTAATCTAAAAATTGCATTAAATGTTATAAAAACCTAACCTCAAAGTTTGTATGAGGCAATGAGCTTAAAGCAACCCCCGCTTCTACGACATTGTATTCACTCAAACAATTATAATTATGTGTGAATATGTGTTTTGGTAGTAAGTGACTGTTGGCAAAATATCAACTCTCCAAGACTATCATAGTAGAGGTTATATTAAAAAAACTGATATAATAAGTAACACTTTATCACCCTGTATCTTGGAAACATAAGTAATTAGGAAAAAGATTTATTTAGGTTTTGGTCTTATTTCTACTTTCTCAATCTTTTCCTAAATTATGCCAATAAGTTTAGGGACACCTTGTATATTATAATATTGTAGTTATGGTAGTTTTGCTTAGCTGGGAAGTAAAGCGCGATGTGATCAATTTTTAAAAAATATTTTTAATGCGCTGTCACTTCCAAAAGTGACAGTAACTTTGTTTTTTTATATGGTTCCACATAAATATTATCGCATTTTTTAAATTTTACGTTAAATTCTGGAGCTATGGAGAATTTTTTTAATTTTGACAGATGGAGTGACTAACAACTAACTAACAGCAACTAACAATTTAAGTAAACGTCACTTTATACATTGTGTGTGTAAAATTTGCCGATCGCACGTTTGGTTAATACTAACGTTATGGTAACGAAATTAAGTAGATATTTGAGTACATTAGATGCAAAACTCGGTTTTTGCACATTTTAAAAAAATATATATTTTATCTTATTTATGATCATAACTGCACTGCCCACAGCATAACTAAGTAAACCAGATGCATAAGTTAATATTTGTAGAATAAAATACATTTATAAACTTACCGCAGCTGCAAAACTGGGTATTTGTCGGATGCAAAACTCGGTATTTGACCAATCACCAATCACGTCGCTAGTATACGCATTAACTGACGGCATAACAATCACCTGATTAATTGTTATTTTTTTGGTATTTGCACTTTTCACTTGCAAAACTTGGTCTTTGAACGAGGAAGATGCAAAACTATGTTTTTAAATCTTTTGATTTCAATTATTTACTAAACTACTTAATTTTAAAGGACTTTTTTTTACTTTTTTGTATAAGAAATGATGCAAAAGCACGTCTATACGATTTTTGTATTTTTTTTTCAAATACTCATTTGTAATAACTGTAAATGTCAAATTTAAAAAAAGTTGTATATGTTATGTTGTAGATAAAGTAGTTTTCATTTGTCGCGAAAATTGCTACATACCACTCTTGTTATGTACTATGCTCCACACATCAAAGTCCAACCACATGAATTTGATAGAAATAATTAAGGTTAATTTTCTGTCAGTGTCAAGCTAATTTCGTCTTATTAATATTGCATTATTTTCAGAAAATAGGACGAAATTAGCTCGACACTGACAGAAAATCAACTTTAATTATTTTTTATCTAAGTCACGTGGTGGGACTTTGATTAATTATTTAGTTTATAGTGCGAACTTTGCCTAGTTTATATGAAATACATAATATGTATTATATTATATATTATCTTCATTTTTGAATAAAATAAACAAACCGATTATACAAAGTACTAGCAGCTAATCGATTTAAATAATAATAATAATAATAATAATAATAATAATAAACATCTTTATTGAAATAAGAAAATACACTATTTCAAATGGCGGAATTTGAATTTAAACATTAAACATGTAGTAATTCATTCTTACATTCCACCAAAAATCTATTAAAAGACAAAGTTTTGTCTTTTAATTATCTTTCAAATTATTCAATAATAGATAGTAATATTCTTGCAATATTTTAGCAAGATACACGTACTAGACCTGACCTACCAAAACTGGACTTAAATGTTCTTCCAGTTTACAAATCTGGAATATCAGGAAAAGATGTTAGAATTAGTATTTTGGATGATGGTATAGAATATACCCATGATGATTTAATTGATAATTATGTAAGTTACAAAAATATATAGGGTGTACAACTTTTTGAAATATTTTTGTCAAATTTTAAACAGTGGCGTTCTATAATATTAAAATCTCTTTAAGGATCCTGACATAAGCTATGATTGTAATCAGGAAGATTTAGATCCAATACCAAGATATGACGTTCATAAATCAAATAGCCATGGAACGAGGTGTGCTGGTGAGGTGGCTATGACGGCTAATAACAAAATATGCGGAGTGGGCATTGCATTTAATTCGAAAATAGGTGGTGGGTATACGTTCTGAAACTAGAGCCATTTAAAGATACCTTATATCATATCCGTTGATTAACTTTTTAGGAGTTAAAATGTTGGATGGTTTAGTGACAGATAGAATAGAAGGCACAGCTTTGGGCTACGCTCTAGATTTAGTGGACATTTATAGCGCTTCCTGGGGGCCCAAAGATGATGGAAAAACAGTTGACGGTCCAGGTAGACTTGCAAAAGAATCTTTGGAGAAAGGAATCACAATGGTAACGTTTAATCAAATAAAACAATGTAAACAATATTTTTTTATAGCACAAAACAAGATCACTAAAACATTTTTAGAAACAATGCTTCTTTCCCTATAGGGTAGAAATGGTAGAGGCTCCATCTACGTTTGGGCATCTGGAAATGGCGGTAGCAAAGGTGACAATTGCAACTGCGACGGTTACTTGGCGAGTATTTTCACGATCTCCATTGGCAGCGCTTCACAAAAAGGCGAATTTCCTTGGTACGGAGAAGAGTGCGCATCCACGTTGGCTGTCACTTACTCTTCCGGCGCTTACAAAGACCAAATGATAGTAAAAAACAGCAAAAAATGAACTCGATGATGTGTATTATTGTACGAACTTTTCAGGCAACTACTGATTTAAATAATGAATGCACCATTAAACACACTGGGACATCAGCTTCAGCTCCTTTGGCAGCTGGAATAATAGCATTAGCTTTGGAAGTCAAGTAAGTTGTTAAAAAGCTTGTGACAAGTTATGGTCTTAATCAGAGCTGGGAGTATCTTGATAAAAAGATAATTGCAAGTAACTTAGTTAAGAAGATATGACCCGGAATAATGGAATATTCTTAGAACCTTCCCTAATTGCTAAGAATGACTTTTAAAACATTCAATAGATACCCTTTTAATGATGCAATTAGATTCTTAGAAGCTTCTTAAAAACTTCCTAAAAAGCATTCTAAGAACATTTTAAGAATACGTTTTTGGAATGTTCTTATGGAGCTTCTAGGAAGCTTTTGAGAATATTCCCAAATATGTCAGATACCCACGTTCTAATATGTTGTATTCTACATTCGTAAAATTCTTCAGGAGACGACAAATACACCTCATTTTCATAATATGACAGTGAAATGTATTTGCCGTCCCCTTAAAAAATTTTGCGACATATTAATATATATTTATTTAAAAATATTAAATAAACAATTTGACCTCTAAACCATAAGTTGTATGACATTATTTCATAAAAACTAAAATTGGAAAATTTTGTGGGATAAGTCGGATTAGATTGCAGTTGAAGATAGTTAGGATTATTATACATAAAAATGTTAATTCCGAAATAAAAAATCGGTATACAAATTAATAAATATTTATTTTTAGCATAAAATAAATTACCTATAGGTATAGTATATATACTAGTACTATACAGGGTGTTTCTTTTAACTTGAGACAGCTCAATATCTCGAGAAATACGCATTTCACGGAAAAATGTCTTAAATAAAAGGTTAATGTGCCTAAAGGGGACATTATTTGGTGCTACCGCTAGCCACCCCCTACCCCTCCTTAAGGGTGAAACGGGGGGTAACTTTGGAAAGTCAAATGGAATGACCCGATTTTTTTCACAGAGTTTGGTAGTACATAAAAAAATAAATAACTTTTATTTAAAACTTTTTTCAATTTATCAACAGATGGCGCTGTAATTCAAAATTTAAGAAAAATGAGTTTCCTTGTAAAATGTATTATTTGAAACGTTTGAAAAACAAAAATTAACATTAACAACAATAGTCGGCTATGAAAACAATTTATAACAAATGTTCGAAATGTCGTCATTCCATTTCAACACATTTTTGAATGCGGGTAATGAATTCTGGCACAAAACGCGCCAACATATCGGGCGGTATCGCCGCACAGGCGTTCCTAATCCGCTCCACCATGTCCTCCCAAGTTGTAGGAATTGCAGCGTAAACTTTTTCTTTCAAGTAACCCCACTGGAAGAAGTCTGGTGGCGTAAGATCAGGTGATCGAGCAGGCCAAATTACTGGACCACGTCTACCGATCCACCGCGGTGCACCGGCCATTGAACTCCCGATCCAACACCTCTGGAGCCGTGCTAGTGGTACATCCTCCAAAAGGTCCGTCAGATCGTTTTCTAGAAAATTCCGGTACTTTTCGCCATTTAATGCACCGTCAATAAAGAAGGGTCCGATTAATCGTTCGCTTAAGGTACCGCACAAAACGTTTACCGACCAGGGACGCTGGTGCTCCACTTGGTGTCGAAATGGAAGGACGACATTTCGAACATTTGTTATAAATTGTTTTCAGAGCCGACTATTGTTGATTTAATGTTAATTTTTGTTTTTCAAACGTTTCAAATAATACATTTTACAAGGAAACCCCTTTTTCTTAAATTTTAAATTACAGCGCCATCTGTTGATAAATTGAAAAAAACTTTCAAATAAAAGTTATTCATTTTTTTATGTACTACCAAACTCTGTGAAAAAAATCGGGTCATTCTATTTGACTTTCCAAAGTTACCCCCCGTTTCACCCTTAAGGAGGGGTAGGGGGTGGCTAGCGGTAGCACCAAATAATGTCCCCTTTGGTCACATTAACCTTTTATTTAAGACATTTTTCCGTGAAATGCGTATTTCTCGAGATATTGAGCTGTCTCAAGTTAAAAGAAACACCCTGTATATAGTAAAAGTATTTTTGTTATCGAATATTGCTTTAATTTGACAAACAACTATAAAAAAATATTTTGGATTGTATATAATACTAATTACTAATTAGGTACTTAAGTATAGGTATATACCTTTATACGTAGTTTATGGTATATTTTACTATTAACAGGAATATTCCTAAATATAGCAATTACTTTTTTAACATTCTAAGCATATGTTTAGCATTTAGATTTTTAGCACTAAAACTTTGCACCTTCTAAGAACCTTAGGATCGTGCTATATGTCTTTTAAGCATGTTCTTTAGAAGAAATATAGCATGATCCTAAGAATATTCTCACTGAAAGGTTTTAAAAACATTCTTGGAATAAAGTGTGCTATCAGGGTAGTTACTTAAAAGTATCTTAGTTACTCTAAGATACTTTCAGATAGTATCTTAGATACTTTCTGATAGTATCTTGGATACTTTTTAAAGTATCTTGTAACTAAAGATACTTTTAACTCAAAGTATCTAGTTACCGGAGGTAACTAAGTTATTTTGTTTAAAGTAGAAAAGTAACTAGATATTTTTCAGAAGTAACTTTCTCAGCTCTGGTCTTAATTTGACCTAAGAATCTTTAAGACATTTTAGATAAGGTTAAGGTTGCCTCGTTTTTTGAATGTTGACTTAATAATAATAATTATAGTCCCAATTTGACCTGGAGAGACGTGCAATATCTGGTTGTTTGGACATCGGAACCGGCACCAGTAGTGGACAATCCTGGTTGGCAGCTGAACGCAGCTGGTTTCTGGTTCAACACTAGATTCGGTTTTGGGTTGATGAACGCTTACGGATTCGTCAAAGCGGCTGCTAACTGGACCAACGTACCTGATAAGTCTTTATGCTCTATTAGGAGTAATTTGGGGTAAATGAACAAGTAATGGTTGAAATGGGTCAGTTTATGTTATGTATTTTTAGAAGTAATACCACAATTTCTTATGGAAACCCTTTAAAAATATTGATTTTTACAACTGGTTGTCAAAATACGGATCAAGAAATCAACTATTTGGAACATTTGCAGTTGAAAACTAATATAAACTACTCTGTACGAGGAGTTTTAGATATAACCATAACTTCTCCATCTGGTAAAAAAGTAAATAAAAAAACTGTATTTATAAAAAAAGTAAATTTTAGGTTCCACTATCCAAGTACTGGCACCCAGAAAGTTTGATAAAAGCAAATCTGGTTTTCGCAACTGGACTTTCATGTCTGTAATGACGTGGGGCGAAAAAGTACATGGAACATGGATTGTTACCATAACAGATAATGTGTAATTTAAATATGTATTTATTTTATTTATAATTATATATATTTTAGATTGGTCCAGAAGGCAACAACGGAAATATCGGAGAAACTACTTTAACTTTACATGGCACAAAATACCTTCCAGAACATATGCGAAATGGGCGAAGGAATTATGACCATAATTATAACAGAGTTAACAGTCGCTTTCATAAAAAGGACATGATATCGGAAAATTTGTATTATTCACCTAATGAAGATAATTTAGTATTTTATGATGAGTATTTGGAAAAATAAAATGTTTCATTTCATCATCAAACACATACACAGCTATGAAATTTAATAAAATATATTTATTAAAAATGTTAATGCATGTTAGTCCATATATGGTATATATGTAAGTATACCTAAAAAGTTGTTATCTATTTAATAAAACATTTTTCTCTGCACAATATGTTTTAATATTTCGATTTTTTCAAGAAAAAACTACATGTGAAAAATAATGTCCATCTATTAAACTAAAACTGTTTTTTCCTAAATTAAACTATATGTTTTCTTCGGTCTGCCTCTTGGTCTTTTGTGTAACAAAATTTTCTGAATTAGAGGTGGAGAATTTAAACAATATACACGCATGCACGAAAAATATAAATTATTGGCCAACGTCAAAATATGCATCTATAAGCACTATTAAATTTTAAAGTTTTACGTAATTTGAAATTTTTTTAGTAACATTCAGGTTACATTATGTAATTTACATACCCGAAAACAAAATATGCATTTTCGTTAAATTGATATGTATAAAAAATGTCTACATATGGTCCGAGAAAAAAATATGAAATTAATAAATATTTTAATGATATATTTTTAAACTCTACAGGAAACTTTTTAAATTTTTTTATTTTGGCATAAACTTAATCCTAATTAGGTTTTTTTATGTTGGAGCGAAAAAACAATATCTTTTTTTAACATATTTATATGTTTGATTATATTCCAAAATAACTTAATAACGCCCTTCTAAACAAATTTAATAAAAATATAAAATTATATATTAATACATTTTATAGAAAAATATTTAATTAATTTTACGAAATAAAAAACAATTAATTACAAATAAAGAAATCCATTTTATCAGTAGCGAAATTTGTGTTAAAAACTACGAGCGAAAACTAAAAAATCCCAGTATCAAAGCTGATGTAAATCCCAGAAGAAACCGTCCGAGTATAAATAACAAGCAACGCGATACTGGGGTCATATCAAATTCATCACTTGTACTAATACGAACAACTTTTCGAACAATTTATATGCAAGCTTAAAGTAAGTTATTTATTATTATTATAAATATACATTTTCCTTTACTGTCTACAATTACAATATATTTATATATACCTATTAAACAAGCAAAATATATATATTACGCATTTGAAAATTAAAATTATTAATCATATACTTATATTTCAGATGATCAAAGAAACCATTGTTTTACTTACCTTTGCCATTATTGCCATAAAGGCAGTACCCTTGGAATATCAGGAACAATACGAGGCAGAACCTTATAACATCAATGCCCCTGGTCCGGTACTTTACCGCTTTAGAAGAGAAACCGAAGAGGAAAAAAAGAAAAGGGAACAAGGTTGGCAGGTTAAACCTGGCGTAGGAGGCGACGGAAAGAACACACAAGTAGGCGCTGAAGCCACCTGGAAGGGCGAGAAAAACGATTTTAACGCCGGATGGAGCAAAACTGTCCATGGACCTGGTAAGGCTAAGCCTTCTTGGCATGTTGGTGGAACCTTGAGATTTAAAAGGGAGACAGAAGAGGAGAAAAAGAAAAGGGAACAAGGTTGGCAGGTAAAACCTGGCGTAGGAGGCGACGGAAAGAACACACAAGTAGGCGCTGAAGCAATCTGGAAGGGCGAGAAAAACGATTTTAACGCCGGATGGAGCAAAACTGTCCATGGACCTGGCAAGGCTAAGCCTTCTTGGCATGTTGGTGGAACCTTGAGATTTAAAAGGGAGACAGAAGAGGAGAAAAAGAAAAGGGAACAAGGTTGGCAGGTTAAACCTGGCGTAGGAGGCGACGGAAAGAATACACAAGTAGGCGCTGAAGCCACCTGGAAGGGTGAGAAAAATGATTTTAACGCCGGATGGAGCAAAACTGTCCATGGACCTGGTAAGGCTAAGCCTTCTTGGCATGTTGGTGGAACCTTGAGATTTAAAAGGGAAACAGAAGAGGAGAAAAAGAAAAGGGAACAAGGTTGGCAGGTAAAACCTGGCGTAGGAGGCGACGGAAAGAACACACAAGTAGGCGCTGAAGCAATCTGGAAGGGCGAGAAAAACGATTTTAACGCCGGATGGAGCAAAACTGTCCATGGACCTGGTAGGGCTAAGCCTTCTTGGCATGTTGGTGGAACCTTGAGATTTAAAAGGGAGACAGAAGAGGAGAAAAAGAAAAGGGAACAAGGTTGGCAGGTTAAACCTGGCGTAGGAGGCGACGGAAAGAACACACAAGTAGGCGCTGAAGCCACCTGGAAGGGCGAGAAGAACGATTTTAACGCCGGATGGAGCAAAACTGTCCATGGACCTGGTAGGGCTAAGCCTTCTTGGCATGTTGGTGGTACCTTTAGGTTATAGAATATTGAAAATGTTTGTGATAGGTTGATATTGTGATTATTTATTTTTTTGTAATAAAGTTTAAAATACAAGGTATGTTTATGTTTTTTTTGTTGGTTTTATACAATTTTATAGTAAACCTGACCTGATCGAAGCCCATATGAAATATAAATAGCTCCTGCTGCATGGAGTATATATACATATAAATATGTAAATTTAATGTAAATAATTTATGATTTAAATATCTAATGCCTAAATACTTTGGTGCTAACTTTACAATTTAAAAAATAAAACATACACAAAATTCAATATATTTGCATAAAAATGCTTGGTTTTACATAATAATATTATTGATATAAGCCAGACATGTTCCGAGTGCTAGAAAGGATTAATAAAAAAGTACAATTACCTCGATTAAAATCAAGAACAAAGTAGAACATACTTTTCTTAAACTTTACCTTAGTAGGTAGGTACCATTTCAAAGGGTATGTTCAGAGCTAATGGTGAGGAGTTACAAGCAAGCAACATGTAGTTAAATGAGTTATTTTACATAAAGAGCATATGATCTTTCTAAATATATGATTAGATGGTGCTTCCTGACCACTGGCACTGATCATACGCTGCATCTTTAAATGTAGAAATGGGGCAAAAAAATAAACAAAAAAAAAATACTTAATAAGAAAAAGATATACTTAAAATTAATAGGTACCGTAAAACGAGTCTACTTGATAAAACTTTTTGTAAATTTTGACACTGTCTGGGAAAACTTTAAACTTTTTTCAAAATCAAAATTAGTTTGTTAAACTTAAGAGTCTGGGAAGGCTTATAAAGCACCACTTTTTTAAAAAAAGATACAGTTGTTATTTTCAAGTAGCTGTAACTTTTTAAATATTACAGGTACATTTTTTTTACATTTTTTTGTGATTCCTAGAGGTTCATATACCTCAACTTTTAGAAACCATATATTTCAGATGATCAAAGAAACCATTGTTTAACTCACCATTGCCACGATGGTCTCCATAAACACAACACCCTTGGAATATCAAAAACAATACAGCTTCAAAAGAAGAAGTAAAAGAAAGAGAGAAATGTTGGGAGGTTAAACCTGATGCCGGTGGTGACGAGAAGAATGCACTGAAGCCATCAAGGGCAAGAAAACATTTTTTCTACTCCCACCTTTAAAACGCCCTTTATCGTTCATGTTTCCATGACACTAAGTGACCTTTTAAATACACATTGACAAGTTGTGGCTTTATTGCGCTTTAGTCACGGGCTGAAGTTAGCAACAGGTTTTTAGTCAAGGGCTGAAGTTAGTTTTAAGTTAGTTGACAGTTGTCAAATGTCATACAATCGTTAAAATAAAGTGCCTTTCTTGTAAAATAATACTAAATGTGAAAATTATTTTATTATCTCAATACAAAATTACAAAAGTTTCTCAACGCCAATATTTGAAAAGTTTATATGAACCTTTTAATTTCGCCGGCAGTAAACTATAACCTAAATTCGGGCACGGACTCCACTGTAAAGTGCTCATAGAACATTTTCTTTACTTTCACTGTGAAAAACTGTCAATTTTCAAGAAATACATTTCGATTTATAACCTTTATAATTGTTTCATTTGGTAAAATTAAATGAAATTGTACACAAATTTAAAACATTTATTTATAAACATCACAATACTTAAAGATAATAAACAATAACACAAAATAAATTGATAACAAAATTTAACGATATACATTAGGGTGGGCCGAAAATCCGCTTTTTTAGAATTTCGTTTAGTAATAGCAAAAATTTTGTTTATTATGTTGTAAACAAATTTTGTGTAAAAGATTAAATTTTTCGATCAACATCCTAGGCTCGCCCAACGCAATTAAAGATCAAAATGTTCAAAAAATGTTGATACTAAAATCGGGTTTATTTCTGAAACTATCCATCTGAAGTAATTTTGTGTAAGGACCTTTTTTGTAGAGCATAAAATTTCCGATCGAAATAAGTTAGGAAAATTTTTTTTTTAACATTTTGATCTTTAGTTGCGTTGCAACGCGTTGGGCGAGCCTAGGATGATGATCGAAAATTTTAATCTTTTACACAATTTTTTTTTACAACAAATTTCTGAAACTATCCATCTGAAGTAATTTTGTGTAGAGCATAAAATTTCCGATCAAAATAAGTTAAGAAAAATTTTTTTTTGAACATTTTGATCTTTAATTGCGTTGGGCGAGCCTAGGATGTTGATCGAAAATTTTAATCTTTACACATTTTTTTTTTTACAACATAATGAACAAAATTTTTGCTATTACTAAACGAAATTCTAAAAAAGCGGATTTTCGGCCCACCCTAATATACATAGAATTGACATTGGAAAAACAGTTAATGTGCGTTAAAATAAATATTATTATTATATTATGTGACATAAAATTCATAATATTTTTTTCTAATTTACTAAAATGGTTTGAAACGTTCTTTGTTAATGAATTGTGAAAATAGCCCAGCTGTTTCAAATTATTTAATTTAAGTTAATCTCATTTCAGTGACCTTGGAACGACTGGACTTTTTCGTAATTTATTAACTTCACTAAAATAAAATGCATTAAAAATGTAATTTACCTAAAGTAAAATAAAGAACTAAAAACTTTAAAATTGTTTCCAAATCAAAAAATAATAAATAAATAAATATTAATGATGTAATATTATAAAATATATATAACGTTTAACAAGTATAGGTAGATATATAGATAAATCACTCTAGATTGGACCGAACAAGGCAAATGTTATGGTTTACAATACTTCAAATCTAAACTCAGCGCTAAGTAACACATCCATGTACCAATTAGTTTTGATTTAGGAAATGAACGTTACTCTATCTAATACACAATAAGATATGTATATTTAAAATATCATAAGATAATTTCGATAAATCTTTTTTATTTTATGTAGGTTAGTGGTGAATATAAGATTTTTAACTTAAAACACAGTGGTTGCACTTTGTTTTGTTGCCCTTCCGTATGGCTTCGTTTTCCTGGTCAATTTTTCTTCTCAAATTATCTAAAAAAAAAAAATATTTACGTCTAAAATTGTTAAAGATTAAATTTAGATTGTTAAAGATATTTTATAATTAAGGTAGGTACTCTCTTAGGCAGAACTTAGCATTGTTGCCAGGTGAAGCAAAACAAAAAGTGGTACCAAGTTCTCTATGTAATGGTATTTAATGGTAAACATTCTGTTTTTAAATTTACAAATTTTACATTTACAGTTTTCTTGATCGAGATTTTATTATTCTTCAACTGTCAAACCACATAAGTTCTGTGACAGAAAACTAAACAAACATTATCCTAGAGGTTTTGTTAAGGTTCAGAAATTAAGAACTTCAGGGAGTTACTTAACGATATTTATCGGTTTCTCTTAAGCGAATTCTCTAGTTAGATATCACAAACATTTAATATAGGGTGCAGGAAAATGTAATATGTCTTGCCTACCTATAAGGCGCAGTGTGGCCACAAATTTATTAAATTAGCATTATATTATACGTAAACAAAATATATGGCAAAACTTTTTTTAACAAGACGATATCAGAAAGAGTTTGAAAAATAGTATAATGAATTATGAAGTCAATATTTTAACAGTTTACAATATTCTTATTTTTTGCAAAGTGCAACCTTGAAAATATGATTTCTGTAATTACTTCTAACTGAGACTGTTTCCTTTTCGTGGGGTTAAAGTAGGGGAACTTCCCCTGAGGAAGTGGGAATCACACGGGTGATTGCATTGAGGCGCATGCGTGGAGGCATTGCCGGTTTAAAAAAATACCATATTTGAGTATAATATAGTATATTATGTATCAAGTTTAATAAACGCCATTTTAGTTTTTTCCCATTGTGTTTACGAGATTTTTACACCATTTTTTGCTTTTTATAAAGCCAAACCACAGTAAGCTTAACCTATGCGTTGAAAACAAAAGGCTTAGAAAAATTTGATATAACCTAAATTCTATTTAGTTGACAATTCGTATCACACGTGGAAGTATTAATACCTATGTATCTAATGTTCTGTCATGTCTATTAGGGTGGGCCGAAAAAATTATTTTTTGAATTCAATTTAGGGGTAGCAAAAAAAATTTACCTTATGCCAAAAGTAGTTTGTAAAAAAAAAATTAGCGTACTAGCCCAATATTTAAGGCCCCCCCTGGGCGCCCAAAATATTATTTTTTTATATTTTTTTTGGGGTAGCAACAAAAAGTTACATTTTGTTAACAGTAATTCTAGAAAAAAAAATAGCGTACTAGCCCAATATTTAAGGCCCCCCTGGGGGCCCAAAATATTATTTTTTTATATTTTGTTTGGAGTAGCAACAAAAAGTTACATTTTGTTAACAGTAATTCTAGAAAAAAGATTAATTACTAGCCCAATATTTAAGGTTACCCCGGGGGCCCATTTTTTATATTTTAATTGGGGTAGTCACAAAAAGTTACCTTATATTAACAATATGTCTAGAAAAAAAGTCCGATATTAAATTTGACGTCAAAAATTTGTCGGTTTAGCAAATTCTAGGGTTAAAAATGTTTATAAATTTGGAAATGTTTTTTTTTTAATAAAAGAACTAAAAATATTTATAAGTCAAGCAGACGACTTCTATATAAGGTTCGGCAAGTTTCCCTTTCACACGCAAGCGGTGAAAAAGTTTGTGAAGCTTGTAACAGAAGCTGCATTAAAAATTTACTGTGAGGTAGCAAGAAATGGTTATAACCACAATCCACACAAAGTTTTATATGGTTTGTCACCACCTAAAGCCTACCGAGGCCTTACTGAGAATGCTGTTCCAACTTTGAAAGGTAATATTATATTATTGTTAATTGAAGAGTCTTCAATTAACAATATTATACCTACCATTTATTTTTTATATCTGTTAACCAATTTTCCAACTATGAAATTTACAGATCCGAAACATTAGAAATGTTTGTAGATCTACCAAATGAAGCAACTTGTGCCAAAAAGGTAATATAAATTATTTGGAATAAAAAACATAATAATATGAATGTTATTTTTAAATTAGCAGTTCTGAACCATTGGATGACCTGCCTAATAATGCCAAATGTTACAGGAAGAGGATAAAACAAAAAATTAAAATATGTCTGCCCTTTACATATTTTTATTTATTTATTTGGACATTGGACCTTTTTCCAAAGGTAATTTTTAAAATAAAATAAAAAAACAAAAATGTACTAATAAATAATTAATCAATTTTACCAAAACTGTGATATATATACAATTCAATACCTTTTAACCAGTGGAAACCAAAGAAAAAGGTGGAAACTATTATAGTGTAGTAAAAATTAAGTTTTAAATATTCGATTTTATATAAAATTGTTATTAGAAAGTATTGCTATTAAAACGTATTTTATTAAATTTTGTGTTAGTAGTTGACTAGTTAACCCTAATTAGGGATTAAATATGTTACCTAGGTTTTTATTAAATAATATTATTTTTTTATCAATTTAAATATGCTAAATTGTATTATTTTATAAGCCTGAAGAAATATATTTATTTTGTTAAATTATATGTAAAAATTTAAGTGTATTTAAAAAATACTATTTATGTTTAAGTATATTCATATTTATTTTGATTATTTTTTATTAAAAATATATATTATATTTTTTTGTTTTATTTATATATCTACTTACTAGAAATCCTACCTTCACCATTAATAATTTCCGTACTTTCAAAAATTAATTTACTAAAAAATTATCAATTTGCAATTAAATTATTTTGATTTATATTACTTTATCTTAACTTTTAATTTCTAAAAAAATCATCGACTATGGTCATGTACATCCATTTTTACTTGCTAAAATACTTTCATCATTGATAATTTTATTTAAAGATTTTAATATTGCCAATAATCAATTTTTAAGAAAATTTATTAAAAGTTATAATAATTATTATAACTTTTAATACATTTTCTTAAAAATTGATTATTATAATAATTATAATATTAATAATAATAATATTAATAATTATAATTATTATTAATTATTAAAATAATTATTGATTACCATATTGTAAAATAATGTTTAATTTACACAAGTAATAGTGTATAAACGTATACATTAAAACTTGAAACAACTATATATATTTACTTGCTCAAAATACCTTTTTATAAAGATATCTTTAATAATTTATTAATTAAATTCCCCAATTAACATATTTTTGTCAAAGCTTTTGTTTAAAACAAACATTTGCGTTTACATTAAAACTTTAAACAACTTTTTATTTTTAAATTAACAGCGGCAAATAAATCAAAGATGGTGGCCATTAAACTGTTCACGTGGTGCGCATAACAGTCCTGATTTTCGTTCGCATTTTATCGAGGAAGAACAGACCTTGTTGTGTGGATTGTGGTTATAACCATATATAGATGCGCGGACATCTTTACCGGCCTATATGACAACAAGTCTCAATATTATTTAAATAATAAAAAATACTGGGTGGGAGGGAGCGGATGGAATTCGAGGAGCAAATATCCAATTAATTAATAATAATAATAATAATAAAAATGCTTTATTGCATAAAACACAAAATTAATTACACAAAAGGCTGCGTTCGTAAGGACGTCCTTCCATACCACCTACTAAGAAATTAAATCTATTTTATTCTGCATATCACATATTAATTAAACTAAATCCTATAATTTCATATCACAACAGTTAATAACAAATTAAATGTGTTTGGATATTGAAATATTATGTTAAAGAATGTTTTATCGTTCAAAATTTTTATAGATAGGTCTATAAACGAATCCTTAGATTTTGAAGTTTTGTGACTAGGTATTTGAAAAAGATTGTGCCTTAAATCAAGATTGTATTTATTGGATCTTTGAATACAGTTGTTGAATAGGTATTCAGGCAATTATTAGGTATTTACTTTCTGTAAGGATCAATTATTTTTAAATGCTTGTTTTCCAAATAGATTGAAGTAATGGGGTCAAATTTTCTGAATGAATCTAATACATGAGTTTATTTTTAAATGTTTCAGTATGATATGAGTAGTAGACTGGCATGCAATAGTCTATAATAGGGTGTATAATATACACCCTATTATAGACTATTGCATACACTGTATATTAATGTTGAAACAATTTTGCACTTGGTGTTAGAATTTAGAACATACTTAAATTAATATAGTGATTTCAGCTTCATATAACACAAACTAAGTTGTCTTGTAACATGGCTTTCAAAGTTCAGGTTTGTATAAATAATAAAAAAACACCCAGATTTCTTGCTGTTTCTTGCTGAGGTATTTCTATAATATTTATATGTATGGTATTAAAATTATATTGTTTTTTATTTATCATATATACTGTACCAATATTTATTACAAGATCCTTTTTGGCATTTAACTGAAGTCTATGATTAACTGACCAAGCATTTACTTCTTTTAAGACTTTATTTATTTCGATAGTGGTTGTGTTAATTAACTTAGAGTAACGCAAAATCTTTTTTAAATTTAATAAAATCAAGCCAAGAGTTGCTAATTTTTTTTCATCAAAAGGCGTCTTAATAAAATAATAAAAAAAAACTTAGACTGATACAGGCATTTGGTTTGTCTATGCAATAACACATGGGGTAACTTTTTGTTGCCATCGCAATTAAAATATATATAAAAAAATTTGGGCCCCCCAGGGCCTTAAATATTGGGCTAAAATGGCTATTTTTTTCGAAACACACTGTTAACATGAGGTTACTTTTTGTGGTTACCCCAATTAAAATATGAACAAAAAATATATTTTGGGCCTCCGGGGCACCCTTAAATTTTGGGCTAGTACGCTCATTTTTTTTTTAGAATTACTGTTAATATAAGGTAACTTTTGTGGTTAACCCAATTAAAATATGATAAAAATAAATATTTTGGGCCTCCGGGGCACCCTTAAATATTGGGCTAGTACGCTCATTTTTTTTTCTAGAATTACTGTTAACATAAGGTAACTTTTTGTTCCCACCCCAGCCAAAACATACAAAAAAAAATATTTTGGCCCCCCGGGGGACCCTTAAA